ACAGCCCTCCCGGATGGCGGTTCCCCATCCCAACCCCTCGCCCAGGCACCTGAGCCTAACATGTGTCATGTTTAAAACAGCACCTGATGGCAATCCTCTAACGTCTGCCGTGCCGAAGCGGTGCAGAGCCTCGCTCAGGAGGGTCCTGCTGTGGCTCCTAGCAGGTTGGTTGCTTTGGGATTTTTATTCATCAAACTGGATTTATAACTAATGATCTCTGATAAGTGCTGCGATGCGCTCGGCCGCTCCTCTTCCGAGGATGTCGCACTACAGCGCGTTGCCTTGGAGTTGATTTGTTAGAGGCAGTGAGTGGAAGGCACACACCCCCCTCGCTCCCACCCGCTCCCAGGAAGCTCTGACGAGTCCTGTGGGCGCCGTGTCCCCGTCCGTGGCTCCGCTCGAGGCGCACAGAGGGACGGATCGCTCTGTCTCCCAGCAGCTCCGTACTGGAGCCGGTCGGGGCACGCCTCTGTGCTGGGATTTTGCCTCTGCTGTGCTGAGTGTTTGCATTTCACAGCACTGGAGGAGAAACCAAGCATGAAATAACACGGGCAAAAGGCTGTGGAACCAGTGTGGTGGCTGTTCCCTTTTCTTTGGTGGTTTTGGGGTGATGAGCAGTAGGCGAGTGCGACTTTATCGGACTGGAGAATTGCCAAGCGATCAGAGTTGGCTTTTTTTTTTTTTCCTCCTTAAGAAATCCCGCTACACAAACCACAGAAAAGGAGGAGGAGGTGTGTGACCCTGTTAAACTTCTCCGAAATGTTGTTGTGAGGCTGTGACCCCATTGTCTGGGCTTTTGGACCGCTTTGTCCCGGTAAAGCAGGAGTGTCTGAGCGCAGCCTAAGCTGGGGAACACACATCAGAACGTGGTTTCATCTTAGATGGAGGTTAATGTCAAGCTCTGTTGAGCAGCTTTTGGTCACTGAAGAAGTCAGAGCAGGTTTCCCTGTATTGAATCAGACTTACTCAATCCCAGAGGTCCTCAGAAATTTTTAAAAAGCAAAGTGTAGTTAGTCTTACCCAAAAGTCTGCAGTGGGAACTTAATCTGTCGCTGCAGGAAGAGCAAAAAGGCCAGATCTGTGCTTTGAAGGTTACTCAGCTCCCGATTTCACTGAGTTTCTAGCTTCAGAAAAAATGTTTCTGTTCTTTCCATCAAAAACTTTTATTTCAGATGGGAAGGGCACAATTTCCTGATGCCCTGGGTCAGCTTTAAACAATCCCTGCCAAAGTCAGCTCCTATAAATACCCGTATCCCGCTGCCTGCCTCAGCCGGTGCCGAACCGTGGGCTTGCCGCCTGCCCGTACAGCATGACACCAGATTTTTTGCTATTATTGTCTGACACGCAGCACAAACGGGGGAGCTGTAGGGAGAAAAAGTTCTCTAGAAGCTTTCTGACCAATTCCTGTAACTTTTCCCTCTGCTCCACCGCCCGCAGGTGCCTCGAGAAGCAATGGCCACAGCGGCACTTCTGAACTCAGCACCATCTCACCGCTGTCTCTTTCCAAGCCCAGCAGCCACTTTCTCGTGGACAAACGCTGCCGACATGCACGTCACCAGGCCAAAATCTGCCAAGGGACGCACGAGGCCGAGCTTCAATCAGAGCGTGGAATCCTGTCCTTGCCAAGTGCCACCTTCCCCGCCACCAGCAGCTCCTCACAAATTAGCGACCAGCCGGAGAGCATCGTCCACGAAACCAGCATTCCCAGCCGGCCAGGTGTCTCCTGCGGAAATCCCCGAGCTCCTGCAGCAGGTGCCTTCGAGGAGCTGCTCTTCCCTGAACAAGTACAGGGTGCTCCCCTCCATTGGCCGGAAAGGAGGAGGCAGCGGCACTGGGGAAACGGCGGCTGAACAGATTGAGCGGCTGAAAGTGAGTGAGGGGCAAGGGGAGGCTCAGAAAATCAAAACTCTTTCTGGAGAAAAAGGATCCACCAGCATATTGTCAGAAAGCGACATCCCCGGAGACAAGAGCTCACATGTGCAACATCCTCTGGAGGAGCCAGGAAGGAAAATGAGGCAAGAGATTGCTCTGACATCGACTTTAAGTTTGGAAGAGCCACCTAAAGAAGCGTCATGCTTGCTGCTCGCTATTCGATCTCCCTCTGGTCAAAGATTTGAACATCATTTCAAGCCCACTGACAGTCTCCAGACGGTCCTTGCTGTGGCAGAACAGAAAATGTCGGCCCAATACAGATGCTGCAGCGTTGAAACGATGGAGGTGCCCCGAAGGAGCTTCTCTGACCTCACGAGGTCCCTCCAGGAATGTGGGATCCTCCACAAATCCGTGCTGTGCATCGAGCAGCACGACACGGATCTTTAGGCGCACAGAGATGCTGCCACGGGTCGTTCTGCTGAGTGGGATGTGTTACTTCTTCCAAAAAACCTGATGCCTCCTGGGCCTCCTTCTTCATCTTGCCATCTTCCAAAAATTCCCCTTGAAGCAGATTTTTTGAAATAGTATTTCAGGTGTATACACCTGCTACATAAAAGCATCTTTTGTTTCATGTGTGCCATCACAAATTGCTTCCTGAGCGCCACAAACCTTTGGCTTTTTTGGTTTTTTTTGAAATAACCGATATTCTTCTTTGAAGACTGAAGTTTCCGAGACCTCTCCCCTCCTCCTTTTCTCTCTCTCAGGAAGGCGCCACTTCCCAGAGGCATCCCTTTGGGGAGGCAGGAAGGGAACTGGTTTATTCTGGGGGAGCATCTTTGGTAGGTTACCATCATCCTAAGTATCTCGAGAGTGACTGAGAAGGAGATCAGACCCCAGACCACCTGGAAAGAACAGCAACCCCACATCGATGGGTTTTGTGCAGTGTTACGTTGCCAGACCGATGGGGATAAGCTGTGGGGGCTCAGCTCCTGGATAACCTCCGTGCAGCTTTTAAGAGTGTGACGACATGGTCTGTTTAAGAACAAATAGTTCTTATTTTGGCTGTACTGGTGAACAGCAGGATTTTCTGCTTAGTTTTCCTTTTCCTGTTCAACTCGTGTGATCCGTAGGTAAGAACAGTAGTTCAGATGGGATGTTACAAAATAATTCCATTGAGTGCCTTTACACCGAAAGACATTAGTCCAAGAAAGAAAGCGCTGCTGTGAGAATTAAAAAAAAAAATTAATTGTATTTGACAGAGGAATTGGCTCAGGCAGGAGATCATCTATCACTAACCCATCATTAAAAAGGCTGGTAGGGTAACCGGGCAGGTTTGAGATAAATACAACGTGCTTGTGCTAAAAAAAAAAAATAAAATCTTCCAGGTTCCTAATGGAAATTGTCACAGTTCAAAGGCAATAATTCAATCTACTCAAAAAATAAGACAGCTTGCCTCACCGCTGAGCTGGGTTTAGTATTTTGAGGTAAACTGCACGGCAGGAATCCTGCTGGGAAGCGCGGCTATCAAACCCCATGGGTGCTTTGAATCAGCCTCAGCGGGGAGCAGTCTGTCACTGTGAGGAACAGGAGCATTTGGTGTTTCAGCCAGTGTTAAGCGGTTAATTCTTTTCTTCCAATTCTTTGTTCACTGTGTTATTGCTGAGTTCCCGAGTGTTTTCGTACTGCGTGGTAATACGGTCAATAAAACCTTGCAGGCTGAAACGTGAATTTAAAATGATTTATGTGAACTGGAGGTGTAACGATCGCATCTCCCCGTACACGAGAAATGCCGTCAACTGATGGCAAACACCTCGGGGATGGTCAGTTGCCATCCACACCACCTCACACGTCTCTTCCCAGAGTTTGTGTCTCCGTCCTGTACTAAATACGAGATTGCAGCAAAGAAGGAAGCCCTTCGGATCAGCGAGTGCCAACAACCAGTGACCCCCGCACAGGTTTGGGAGCATACAGGGGCTGATGCTTTAAGCCAGGACGGAAAAATAAGAGAAAGTTGGCTCACAGGGGACAGCACTTTGCACACTGAGGGACATTCCTCCTGAATATAAGAGAAAACTGAATGAGTCCAGTTCTCTAACACACTCCCCCAGGCTACAGCATCTCCGAAGATGTGCATTTGAATTATTTCCTTTTCTAAAAACCCCGTCACGGCTTGATCTAGGCGAGTGCAGTGCAGAGAAAAGGCCCCTCTCTCTTCTCCCCCCCTTCTCCTCTTTCCTTCAAAAGTCTCGTGGGGACGCAGGGGAGGCGTTAGCAACTCTGCCTCCTTGGCACAAGAAGTACTACAGGGGAGGAATTTATCTGACCTCCTTTACTGGGTGGTATTGCTGAACAAGCTTCCTTGGGGAAATTCTTAAAAATAATTTAAAAACTAAAGAATTATTCTTAAAAAGAATTTCAGCCTTAGATCAGGTGAAGTTCAGTCTGTCCCAGGATGCTTCGAGAAGGTCATAAATGGAAAACTCTGGTCTGCGAACGTCTTTACCCAAGGCTTTTAAACAAAGTATTCAAGCAAGAAATCAGCGGAGGCATCGTTCAGTAGGTGTTCTTTATTCCAATTAAAAGTACATTAGAAACAGCACACAGGACCAGCAGCAGCTTTCACGACAATTCAACCCAAGACTCTGCTGTCACGAGGTCATTCAGCTGTACTATGAAAGGTGATCGAAACAAGTCTTCCACTCGACACGCAAGCACTCACTCACCTGCCACTTTAAATAGGTTCCAACAGAATAAAAATAGATACACCCCAGAATACAAAAAGTTTTAATTTTGTTTTTTTTTTTTTTCTTCACTAAAGCCTTTATACAAATTGATAAAAGGGTGCACGATTTCCTAAAATTTTAGGTACATTTTAAATGAGCCTTTTTTTACTTGGTAAAAGGATCCATGTTCCTGTCTTTGAACAGAATATGATGGCCAAAATTGCAAAGAAAAATTCCTAGTTAAATTTACAATTTATACATGTGTGTTTTGAAGTGATTCCTGCACCCAGTAGCAGGCCAAGGGCTGCTCACGCGATGTCCCATTTTCCCCAAAAAGGAGCTGTGCACCCTAAGTTCTGGTTCAGGAGCCTCCTTCTCCTGGGAAGCGGGCTGGGGGGAACAACCCACAGGCTTTCAGTTGTGCGCGTGAGAATGGTCCCAACCGAACTAAAAGCCCGAGCGCAGAATTTGCAACTCTTTCCTTCTCCAGCGAGGATCACCCGGGGCGAGGGACGGCTGACCTGTACGAGCACAATGAAAGTGGAGCGCTTCCCGGCTGCAATGGGGCTGAGCAACTGAACTCAAAACTCTGGTACTGAAACATCCCCTAATTGGGTAAATTTAGAAGGTTGGGGTTTGTTTTTTTTTTTTTTTTGGTCGATAGAAGCTATCATGATTTTTATTTTTCTTTTATTCCTGTTTTACTGGTGGGTGAAGCCCAGCAGTTCTGTACGTTATTCACGCAGAGCTTCACAGCAGCATCTTAGAACCGGCACCACCTGCCTAAAGGTGACCGTCCCCCACTCCAACAGTCATTAGCGTTTTACGGAGGTGAATTTATTCAGTAAATTAATTAGTACAGTTCCCTTCACACTGCCCCTCTCTCCCCACCCCACCCACCTGCACCTTGGTGAGGTTAAAACGCTTCAGATGAATTTCTAGAGTACGTACTTAAGCACTGTCACCACCGCACCGCTTTACGTCTAGTGGCCATTCTAACAAACCAAGGACAAATTCAAAAGAAAATACTGCCCAGCAAAAGCAACACGGCACCTGTGTTTGCGAGTATGAGCTACCGGAGACATCCTCAGGACGATTTATGGAAGGAAAAGCAGGGCAAATCCATCAGGAAGCCAGAAATGAGTCTTAAAAGAACGCAGGGGAGCGCCAAAAAACATCCTATTCTGTACAAGTTGAGTTTTTAGCCAAAAACCAGCTGCCTTGTTTGGGGTTTTTAATTTTTTTTCCTTATGTCCATTATATATTTAACTGTTGAATTTTAACTGATCAGGCTAATGCTGAACTTTATTCCAACTAAAGGCAATAAAGTTTTTTTCTTTTTTTTTCAATTTGTTTTAGATAATTACATATTGCCTATTTTTTTTGGCAAGTGTATTTCTTAGAATTCATAAGATCTTCCCGTTTTTTTTTTTAAGGCTAAACTAAGAAATGTTAAAAGCTTCTGTAAACATTTCCTCCTCTTCCCCATAGTTGCACAATTTTTGAAGTCCAACTACAATTTTTAAAATGAGGTAATTTTTGTATACTCATATCATAAAGAGTCCTTTTCGGGACTAGCTGAGAGGCGTGCCAATCTGAACGCTGATCCAATTGTAGTGGGAGAGCTTCCACAGCAGGGTACACACCAGTTCCAGCAGCTGTACTTCAGTTTGTTATCTTCTCTATTTCATCCAAGTCGTCAGTATCCAATTTGTTTATCTTTTTGTCTGGGAAAATAAGAGAAATAAGTCAGATTTGGGAACACAGAGCAGAGAAAGCTGCTTTCTTTAGCTGCTCTTGAGGAGCTCACGTTTATCCAGGAAACGTTCAGCCAGGTCTTAAAACTACAACCCAAAACTTTCCTCTTTTATCAAAGGCCCATCGGGGTACCCGAATGTTACCCATCTCTGGAACATTCATTTGAAGGACTATTCAGGTAGCCAGCACACAGACAACTTGATTTATTTCTGCTCCTATCACAATCTTAAGTGACGTTACACAAAACGCAGCCAGTGTGCTCTTCTGCGGCCGGTTTAAGGCTCAATAAATACAATTCTGCAGAAATAACATCTCATTTTAGAGAAAGGAGGAGGTCTGAGGGTACGTACTGAAATGTTCCTGGATTCTGTTGAGGATATTCATGCTGTGCTTGCTGTCCACCATGTTAATAGCCAGTCCTCGCTTCCCAAAGCGACCCGTACGTCCAATCCGGTGCAGATACGTCTCGTTATCTGGATTTCCATCTTTATCCACAGGAAGATCAAAATTGATAACAACAGAGACTTGCTCAACATCGATCCCTGATAAAAAGAAAGCATCAGATGCCGTGACTCCACCAAAAACCATCTTATAGCAGGGACAGCCGGTCTCAACCTCTGCAATGGATCTTTTCCGCACTTATGGGGTACTTTGGAATAAAAACTCTCGAGCTGTGACACCACAGACATGGCTAAACAGAAAAACAGTCGGAGCTGCTCAGCTTTAACCAGCACTGACATATTTTGGAAACTCTTTCCTCCTCTCTGTAAAAGCTTTTTGTTTTTTTCCAAGCACTATGTTGTCTTAACCGTTCCAGGATGTCAAATTGCACCATAAATTCCTCCTGGAGTTCAGGACTTTTCACATTTCCGTATTTCGGACCATGTTTATTTTAAACACTTGGGGTCAGCAGCACAAGCCAGGCTTGGCGGCGCCAGAAGAACAGAATTGTCCCAGGGTGGACTTTCATTTCAAACTGCAGGAAGCCCACAAGGAATCCTGCATTTGCCCACAGGCGTCTTTATGTGCACAGGCACAGCCAGCAGCCCAAAAACCCAGGAATTCCTTTAAGAACCCTAATTTCTCCAGACTGGAACGTTTGAGGGTACGAATTGTTTCTGCAAGGTGACTTTATCTTAGGAACCACTGCTCTGCCCCTCCCTGGCACAGCTTTGCCACATCCTACCTCTGGCACAGACGTTAGTGGTCACCAGCACCTTTTCTTTGCCCTCTCGGAAGCGCTCGATCACCGCCGCTCTCTGCTCCACCATCATTTCCCCGCTGAGCAATGCCACCTGATGGCCTTCCTTCGAGAGCTCCGCCGCCAGCCAGCCCGCCGTCTTCCGAGTCTGAAACACAAAGCCAGGCCTGTCTTTAGGAGGAAGTTTTAACGCTGTAAAGTGGGAAATAACTCTCTGGGATCATCTGGAAGCTCTGCGGCTGCTCAGTTTTTGTCTCTCAAAAGGAAACAGCTCCTAAGTGCTGTGCCCACCCCCGGCTCCACCACCAACTGCGCTCCCAGCTCTCGTATCAGAAATAGGAAAGCGTGCGTCTGCCACCAAAGGAACTCTTTTTAAAGAAAAGTACGTGTTTTCTTTGTGCTGTTTTCACTTTGAGGGATTACATACGCACACTAAAAGCTCACAAGCACTGTCAAGTAAACAAAACGACTCAGCTTGGAAAATGTCAAGGTTTGAGCTGAATGTAGTTGTGAAATCCCACAGAGGCTCTATGCAGTCTTGAATTCCAACAGTTTCCAATTTCACTGGTTTTTCAAGCTCCGATTACATTATTATATCTCGAGACAGCATAAAGGCAGACCCCCGCAGCAGACTCCACACACAGGTTTTATCTCGTCTGAGCTAGCTTTGCGCGGCTGCTCTGGTGCTGTCAGCGCTGGGTTTTTTCTACAAGTTACGGTGGCTCCCAGGAAAAAAAAAACTCTCAGTAGGATTCCCAGGGGGACCCCAGAATTATGTCACCAGTCCCCTGAGGGAAACAGAGTCCCAGGAAAAGTGAAGGATCGGCTGCAGAACTACACGACTTCCCCATCCCTCATCCTGCCCTATTTTCATCCATTTTCCAACCTCTCTTTTTTTTCCTTCTTTCACTAGTTCCAAGTAATACTTTGTTTTGGAGAACTGTGCATTACTCTAATCTTTGCTTCAGAGGGCTTCAAGAATAAAAATGACTGTTGTGCTCTCCTGGATGGACAAACCCAGAGAAACAAACTTGCTCGTACTATCCTGGCTCTCAAGATTTCAAAGAGGGAGCCAGAAAAGCCAAAGAAAAGGGCAATTCATTGAAATTTCTTTCTGCAAAGCTGCCTGGACAGGTTTCCAGCACTCGCAGACACTAATGGGGTCGTTGGGACGAATGTTCCCCGAAAGGACTCACGTGGCAGAAGATCATGGCCTGGGCAATGGTGATAGCGCCGTAGATATTACAGAGCGCCTGGAACTTCTCGTCTCGGTTATTGCACAGAACGTAATACTGCTTAATAGTGTCCAGCGTCTCCTCCTCTCGCTTCAGTTTGATAATGTTTGGGTCAGGAACAACTTTTTGAGCAAATTTCCACACGGAATCCTCAAAAGTGGCCGAGAACAGAAGCATCTGGCAGTCCCGGGGGAGCATTCTGCAAGAGAGAGTAAAATGGGCAGGGCTCCCACGCAACACTGTTGCCCCTCTGATATCCTGCTGGGATTAATGCCGTGGGGAAAGCAGAACAATAACCTTGGAACCAGTTAGTTCAGTCGCTGGAAAGACTAATGCTAATCTTACCAACACCCGATCGTTCCCTCGTGGGCCATGGCATCCAGAGTTGCATTCTTAAAAATGAATAAACCCTGTTCCAGAGACAGGCTTTTTATTCAGTAAGAAAATGAAACTGCTTGTCATCCCCTGACATTCTGCCTTTATTAACCATCTGGATTAGAGCTAAATATACCACTTTAATCTTGGTGCTTTATCGGTGAAAACACCAGTCAAGAATCCAGCCCTGCTGTCCCTACGTTACAAAATAGCTATAATGGACAGAAACAAAAATCACCTCGGGCAACGTACGCCGAGTCCTTACCTCTGAATGCGGATGCTCTGGTCTTGATGGCCCTGGGTTGCGATCATCACGTCAGCCTCATCCAAGACAAACACTTTGATTTTCTTGGGATCTATGAATTTCAGTTTGGAACACCAGTCCAGCACAGTGCCGGGTGTGCCGATTACAATCTGCTCCGAGATCTTCTGACCTCTCTCCACTGCCAAGACAGAAAGGAAGACTTTGTAAGATGGCTGCGCAGACAGCTATGCCCCTCTCTGAACCAGCCAGTTTCACCACCCAACTGCTCTGTTGTTCATTTCTTGCACCCAAGAAAAACAATTTTGTCATTTAGAGTCTGGAGGTAGCGTTTCACCTTACTCACATTTATTGCCTCGGACAGCGTACGCAAGTTTCAGCTCCGGATAAAACTTTCCCATCTGTTCAATCACTTTTCCCGTTTGAAGCGCCAGCTCGTACGTTGGGGAAAGGCACAGACACTGCAGGGACAGAAGGATAACGCATTGGAGGTGACCAATGTCCTGAGCAACGCTATCACGCTTGTTTTTTAAAATCCTTACTGAAGTTTTCCTGAAGACGAACACGAGAGCAGCTGAATAGTTTCTGAAAACCCGTCAGTTCTGCATCCTGGAACTAGGGAAATGAGTTGATGTGATCCAGTCACCTAACTAGTGGCTTTCTGTGTTCAATTCTGCTCCCCAAAGTGCAGATTCTCTGCTGGGGGACATATATTCTCCTTGTCACTGCTGTCCATAACACCCACAGTTAGACTAAGAGATATTTTTTTTTTTAGGAAGGAACCCAAGCCTTGGTAAAACTGCTCAACTACCTCAAAAGGAAATTGGGTTTAAAAAGCCTCTTTGTGGGCATTGTCTGCTCTACTGTCACAGATATCATCTCCTCCATCACAAATTCCACTTGCTTAATCCCCTTCAGCCTGCAATTTTTCTCCGATTTATTTTCTCCCAGAATGACATCCCCCTGGTTTAACTCCTCACAGTGACATCCTGGTTGATGCAAAGGAAGGACTGGCAGGTACAAATTGTGAGCAAAATCCACATTTTTTGCCTTAAAGGGATTTTGACAGATCCCCAAATCTATTCCCCTGCTAAGCAGTTTACAGAAACAGCATCACAGATGTGGGTTCATCAGTCTATGAATTTCCTATCGATGCTCTCAACAGAAGCCCAGCCGCTTCACTAGGTGGCACTGCACCACCACTAAACCCCAAAAACGTCACAGAAAAATTACCTGTGGATACTTGTTCCCAGGTTCAACGCGACTGAGCATGGCCAGGACAAAGGCAGCCGTCTTGCCAGTACCGGACTGAGATTGTGCGATCAAGTTCTGGGGGCTGCAGAACACACAGCAGATGTGAGCTCAAGGAGATGAACCACCCGGACAACATATTTGTGGGGTTGAACAATAAACAAAAGGCATCGAGTGGCATTTTAATACCTTTTAGATTTATCACTGCTCTGGACTGGTGCCTAGCTTGACCAGAAATTAATTTCTGCCCTCTCCCAATTCTCTCTTTCAGCACAAGTGACCTCTAGATTACAGAGATTTGGAAGGAAAACAGCAATTATCTGGCAGTACTTTTCCATTTTCCACATCTCCCTCTAGTGTCTTAATGCTTTATACTTTTCAGCTCAGGGGTGCGGAGAGGAAAACCCGCCACGCAGGCAACGCAGCATCTCAGCTACGCCCACCCACCCAGGATTTCTGGAGCTATGTTCATAGCAGCCTTGTTCTTTCTCTAGGAAAAACAACTAGGAAAATCAGGCTGAACAGCACAGCAATGTGTGTTCAGTACCAGGCCAGGAAAAGGACAAATCCAGGTCTGCTGTCCCACAGGTGGGGACCACAGAAGCGCTGTGGCATGGGAACCCTTTCACCACAGCACAGACAGCTTCCCCAGCATCTTCCTCCCATCCCAAGTTCAGTAACAGGATGCTGAATCTTTCAAATCCTTCCTATACAGAAAGGGAGTGTCAATTTCAGCAAGCATCATGGGCAGGGCGTTCTCCTGTATCTTGGATGGTCTGTTGAAGCCCATGGCGTAGACGCCTTGCAGGAGCTGCGGTTTCCTGAAAACAGAGGTTTTATACCATGAGCTTTTAAAGTACATTTGGTTTTCATTTGTGGACAAAAAGGTGAGAAAAAACCTTGCAGCCAGACCTAGAGCTGCTCCTTTCTGCATGCCCACTGTAATCGCATCGGTGAAGTGACAGCGATCAGTGCCTGGAAGCCACAAGTGACAGCAGAAAGTCTGGAAAGGACACTTTGCAAAAACCCCTCGATATATTATGTCAAGCCTGCACGCCTGCCTTTCGCAGCTACGTGGAAAACCGTGTGTCACAGCTCTAAGGCTGCACTGGGCTTCTCGTTCTAAAGCAGCTTTTCAGACAATCCTGGGAATCCCGGAGCAGAGAGCATTAATCCTGCCCTTGAGGCCAATCCCTTTTCCTCAGGATCTCGGCGCCAAAATTATCACTCCTTGAAGACTCAAATATGGGACCAAACGACCTCAGCACGAGGAACAAAGTGTAATGTCACGAAACCACTGCCAGGACTTCAGTAAATCGTGATGGATTCTGTAACACATACTGACATAACACCAGAACGCTCAGAACTGGTAAAGGGCTGACAAAGGTCAGCGAGCACACCCGGTGATCCACAGCTGTAACCCACCACTTGAACCAAGGTGTGTGCTGACACCACCAGTCCTCAAATGCCCACCAATTTTTTTTCTTGAGGGAGCTTTCTAGGCTCAGCAGACACTCGTGTAGACAAGGAGCTCCAAGAACAACCTAAATTCAGGTTATGGTGCTAGTGAACTCTCAGTCGATGCCCTTGGAAGGCTCACTGAAGAGCTGTCAGTGGTGCTTTCCTTTCAAAGCAGGTGACAGTTTTCCTGCCCAGCGTTTCCCGCTGTTAAGAACTTCCCATTCAGCACAACATGCATTTTAAAAATCGTATATTACTTTCAGACGATGGCTGGAACAAAAGCTCTTTGAAAACGTAACCTTGTGCTGCTCTGAAGCGAGGACGTACAAAGGCAAACTCCGCAACAGTTGCCAAGGATACACCAAGTCACAACAAAAGGAAGACTCAATTAGTCTGCCTGCCCCCATCATTAACTCACTCGGATTGTTTGGCTGTTGAAAGATGGGAATTAGTTGAACAGGCACTACAGGACCTCAGCTTTTTTTTTTGTAGACATTCAACCACTAACATTAACGTCCTGACATTTCATGGGGAGAAGTCTTATCGGCTCCGATCGTGCCATGGAGCTTGCAAAGCAGTAACAAACCCAAAATCATCACTATAACCAACACCAATCCCAACAGGACAGCCTCTTTTGCAAATTAAAAAAAAAAAAAAAAAAATCTATCATGCCTTAAATACAGCTATCATTGCTTGAAAGCTCCACTGGTAAAGGTATTGAGCAGGAAGGGTCAGAAAATACTAACGCTGGTAAGTCTCTCCAGGACGTAAATCCAGTATCACTGGCAGAGAAAAGATAAGCTTTTCCCTTTGCACCATTCCCTGCTGCTGCTAGACCTTCACAACAAACCGCCAGGGAGCACGAGCAGAAGATGGTTGTGTTCATTACTCCTGCCAATAAAACAAATCTTGTGTTTTCCAAAACACCGCCGAGCTGCAGGAACACCTGCTCCAAGCTTCCCCGCGTCCGCTGGAGAACCGGTGGAATAACGCCACCTCCGACGCAGAAAAGGGCTCGCTCTGCAATTCCCAGAACCCTGGGGGGACAGTGGCCGTGGAAGGACAGCCCTCCCTCCCCAGTTCACCTCCTCCAGCTTATCACACGTGAGCTCCACATGTTTTGAAAACCAAAACCCACACATTAAAATTCAGAATTGTGTTGCTAGAGCTGATTATAGAGAGCAGTGCTAACTCTGCACAGAGCAGGAATTAAAATGAGCGTGTTTCAGATGGAAGCCCTCACCAGGCACCAAGATAAAATAACTCTCCTTGTATTTAAATAATACAATTAATGATATGCTAATTTATTAATGACAAGTTTGCAGTAACTTGAAACAGAAACCCAGGCGCTTTGAAGCGATATCTCCTACGCAGGGGAGGCTCCAACTATCTGATGGGCTCCAAACTCGCATCTGCTCTTGCAGTCTCACCAGAAGTGAGTCAACACCGCTCTCAAGAACGAGGATTCTTATGACTGAGCGAGCCAAACAATATGCTGAAAAATTAATATTACTGTTCACAGGTTTTAACAGCTCAAGGCAGAGAATTCTCTGGCTCATCCCAGCGCTGCCCTTTAGCAGCTCTGAATCGACAGACACTTACAGTCGCAGCTCCTCAAAAGACTTCACGGAGTAGAGAGGCGATGTGGGATCCCTCTGCAGCACCTCCACTTGATTTGTCGTGTCCACCAAGTTACTGCGGATGAGCTTGTTCAGCAAGGACTGGGCGGCTCTGTCCTCTGTTGGAAAAGGAGAAAAAAATAAATCACAGTCTGTTTCGGGTGTCACTCCCACTGAAACGCTGCGTTACTCAGCCAGTTAAAAAGGGCAAGATGCATCCAAATACCGAAATTCTCTATTTCAGAGCAACGTCATCCAAGAGCCCAAACTTCCTGAATGAGACATTGATGAAAATATCCGAGATTCATATTTAACATCCAGGAAGAAAAACCGAATCCGGCACAGGACCTTAACAGATACAGAACTCTGCTTATTAAGATCTTATAGCTTAGCATCTAATTGGAGGGTGGGATGGCGTTAAAAGCCTCTTAAAGCCTCACTGTTATCTGACATGTGAGCAGTCAACTTTTAGGGTTTTTTTTTTATATTTTTAAGGAAAATTTGAGGACAAACGGGACTTTGAAAGATTCCAGGGCTGAAATGCAGCAAGGGCTGAGGGTAAGTGAGATCCAAACGGAAGGCTGAACTGCTGCACTTGGGGGTTTTGCTCATAAATCTGTTTTCTAAAGCCACCTTCTGAAGGATTTAGAGCCGTCACCCACCTCTTAACATTTCCAAAACGCAACATGTTGGTTGCTACAGCAATTCCAGCTCCAGGTTATCCAACTGCTCCTGTAAGCAGTCCTGCCTTTGGGGACACTGCTATCCCCTTATGTTTCTCCACTCTAATCCAGGAGTCTCCCAAGTTTTTACAGGACCCAAAAAAGTATCATGGAGGAAGGACATGTCTTACAATTTAGTCCTTGGGGCAGGGATACAAGATCATCCATCCTGAGACATAAGGCAGACTGACTTTAAGCATATAGGAAATTAATTTCTTTTCAACTTTCCTTGCCAAAGCTTTTTTTCAAGAAGACACTTACCCTTCTCCTCATCCTCCGTCTTCTCCACGTTGTCATCTGCCTTGACCACAGCACCTACATCAAAACAGATGGTTGTGGGGCAGGTGTGAGGTCAGGTGAGAGTTGTAGGCTTTGAATATTGTGGGGAAAGCTACAAAACAGCTCATTTTCCTGACGAGAACATCCCTGCTCAATCGGTGCACAGAAGAAAGGGGAGCTACGGCTTGGTCTGTACAAATTGAAGTTTATCAACCACACAAACAGATTGTGCCCGCACAGCTCCTTGGATACAGCAAAACATGATTTTAAAAAGCAGAACAAGCGCGAGAGACAGATATTTACTGTATGCTGGTGTTTGATCTTAGCTTTATGTTTCCCTTTTCTGGAAATTCTTAACTAATCAGCAATTTGGCAGCAGTGCTCCAAACCCAACGGAAACATCACTGCCTTTCAAAGACCATTTGAGCAGCTACAACTCACCATTGGCATCTGGTTTGGTTTTTTCCTCCTTCAGGTGTAAACTGCTCAACTACAAGCAAGGAAAAACACAAAATCAGAGTAATCCAAAGGCTGCCAGACCTACGTTTTACTGACAGCCAGGAAAACCATCAACGCTTCCAGATTGATTGCCTGCTGCAAATATTGCACAACGAAAACCCACATGTGAAGGCAAACGAGATGAATTTAGCGAGATCAACTCCATTTCAAGAATTTTAAAACAAATACCACTTTTTAAAAGCTGTAATGATGACATGGAGAAAAGGGGTAACTTTCTGTCCCTGCATCTCTGCTCCGTAATAGCTCTGCTGATGGGAAATGGGAGAAAATTTACAACCCAGGATGGAAACTGGAGCCAAGGTTGACATCAGCCACCCCAGGGTGAGTCCCTCTCGCCCAGGGTTGGTTTTTCCACCAGAAATATGACGGGGAGAGGAGCCCTGAGGGTCTTCCTGCACGTCAGGGGGGTGAGTTACCGCTCCCTGTGCTAAAGCATGGTGCTTGATCAGAAAAAGAAAACAGGAACCAGCAGCTCAAATGAATTTGTCACCAAAATACGAGAGAAAAAAGGGATTTTTTTTTTTACTTCAGGATGAAGACACAGGCTTGGTGACAACCTCTAAACTGACAGTGCCTGGATATGGGGTGAGGGGGGAGGACAGGAGCCTCCCTGCCCTTTTGATATGCAAAAAATGAAAGGAAAAATATTTATTTAAGAAAAAAAAAAAGCAATAAAAGGGGATTTTTTGCTCCAAAGGCAGGTCCCAGGCCCAGGGCGGCCCTGAGACAGGGCCCAGCTGCTCAGAGGCAGCACAGGGGCCTCTTTGCCCTTCTGATAAAAAATGAAAAGAAAAAGAAAATAATTTTTATTTAAAAAAGAAAGAAAATTGGGGTTTTTTTCGCTCCTACGGC